GGGGGCTGGGCTGTTTTTTGTCTCTTTCTTTCTTGAGATCTCTTGATCTTTTGTGTGTTTGAGAAGGAAAAAGAAGCTTGTGTTTGGCTTTTTTAAATGTGTGAATAGGAACAAAGAGTGGATTTTGATAGCAGTTTGCATGCATCGGCTCTAAATAATTGATACTTTATGAATCAATGTATGACATGAAAGTCTTCAGCAGAAAATCATGTGTCAAATCTAAGTATAAACCCTTCAGATATTATATGTACGCACTTGTCTTACATCTCCTCTCAGACTCTATGAAGGACTGCTAAGATTGATAGGTCACATTCCCTGGCACATTTGTTATTCTTATCCCAAGGATGATGAACTCGCACATGGGAAAAAATAAACAAATATCCAGCATAAGGCATTAATCAGTAACAGTCTAAGGCAAAATAATGAATATAACGTACTACAGGTCACTTGGAGAGAAGAAATTGAGACCCAATACTTACAAAAAAGACTCTAATTCTTATATGCATACAAAAAGACAAAAGAATATGTCCTCTGAAATAGTATAAAAAAAAAAAGTATAGTATATGTGAAAGAATAACTTACATTAATTCGTAATTCTAGCTAGATTTAAACTGAAAGCTACATAGGAAAGTGTAAAATTAAGCATTTTTACACATTTATTTTGTAGTATTCTATAGGAGTAATTCTAAAACTAACCAGGAACCAGCAGCACAGAATTCCTTCCTTGAAGTTTTGGAGATCAAACAAGAAATAAGAAACTACTCTGATTCCCAAATCCAGAAAATTTGCCATGGATTGGTATTTAAGTTCCTATCTAATGTGTTTAATTAGGTGACTTTTCTTTATGGGGCAGCAGTTTTGGAAGCAGAACATATACTGAAAAGATACTTAGCTTGTTCCACTTAAAAATGTCAATTTTGGTCCCCAAAATATCTTAAGACGTTCATAAGGTTATACATTAAACGAACAATCTCATGACCTCCTTGCCCTCAAGCCCCTTTGCAAACAGACTGATAACGAAGTGTTAGCTTTATTTAATAAAACAAGGACTTGTTTTATTTTTAAATTCAGATGAAATATTTTCTAAATTCACTGGGATTTATAGGTAGATTCTGAACATCTAGCCAGTTTTATTTCAGAACAGAGCTGCAGCTTAAGCAGTCTTATTTCAGGTATTTTTACTGTGCTGGATGAAATTTAATTTATAAAAGATCATGACTGTATATGTACCTGCTTGATTTATCTCTGCTTCATTTGGGAGGCTGTCTGTACTTGAATCTCCTTCCATTTCTGTGTCGTGACCCAGTGGACTGTGACTTGCAGTCAAGTCAGTTTTGGAAGACATGAAAAAAAAATTGAAACAAATCAACAAAAGATCAAAAGAGCTAAAAGAAAATATCCAGGCCACAAAACCAATACAATGTGTCAAGCTTCAGTGTTCAATTATTTTGTGTATTCTTTTCTTTCTCTTACCTTAGCTAACATAAGTTATTAGCTCTTTAGGCAACAGCTTTGTCTTGATGTTTTTCAGTATAACCTTTGGCACCATGTGGATATTATATAAATAAAAAATAATAAAGTAATTAGACGTTTGTATACACTAGAAGATCTTAGCTTGTGGTATTTACATCTTGGCTGCAAAGAATTCCATCCATAATATGGTCCCAAAACCACAAACATGCAGTATGCTTTTAAAGTTGAAAACAGAATACAGCAATCTGGGACCTGATACTGCAGACCACATGTGCAATTTTAGTCATATGTATACTTTCATAGTTTAAGTATTCACAGAGGTGAATATGAGTTATTTAATATGTGGGCTTTAATGTGAAAGTTTGTGTATGTCATTTAATATTTTTTTACAACCTCTATTAAATTCTAGGTGTTTTATGATCAAATCTGAAGAGAATTGTCCAGAACTAAAAAGTTTTAAAGTCACCTATTGACTTCTGCCTATTTGACTAGGTTTTGGATTTGGCTCTAAACAGACAATGTGCAGTGTGGGATCCAGCCAGAAAGAAGTGATTGAACAGTGAAGGTATGCTAGTTTCATATTTTTCTTGTTTGATCTTTTGTTGATTTTTTTTTTTTCCCCTTCTCTCATACAATCTCTTTCTTTCCTCCCTCTTCTGGTCGGTTGTGTTTGCACTTGTTAGGTTGAGGGCCTATAAATACCTTATCAGAAAAACGTAAGGGGCATATCAGATCCAGTCAAAGTGGAGTGCTGGGTATAGGGGAGTTTGTGCAAGGCATGCAGGTAAGAGAAGGAGGCACAAAGGGGATGGTTAGTCACGCTGGAGTTTTGTGATTTTTTTTTTCTCCCTTTTTTATTCTGGAATCTTTGGGACTGTGTTGTTTAAATTTAGATATGTAGCATGAATTTTGAGCTCAAAACCCATGGTACCTTCCAGAATAGGGTTGTATATGACTTGATTATACTTGGAAGTTTTCCAGATTTGCTGCAGCACTTGAAATTAATTCCCTGTCTTAATCCAAGGTAACTTTCAAGTGTAGACAGGCCTAACAGTTCAGCACTAACATTTACTTAACTTTGGCAAAAGTTCCAGGTGTTCAAGGAATGCAGAATCATTCAGTAAGGAATGCAGAATTTTACCTCATTCATTTGTATTAATGAGTTATTTCCTAAGAGGCTTTTGATAGCTTAATTTTGGTAATTGAACCTTCAAATTAAAGGTTGTATAGACAAAGTCATAAAACTACCTGTAAGTAAGAGTTAGTCCTTACTAATGTCTAAGAATCATTTCTGTGATCTTGAAATACTTTGGTAGGAAAATATTTTCATACTAAGCTGATCATTTATGGAATTAATTCTGCTTTCAGAATTAGAATATCCCAGTCAATATGGAAATTAACATTTTGTAAGGCTGTATACCCTCTTATTTCTTTTGGTGGGTTAAGCACTTTTAAATAGTGTTAGGATAGTGTTAAATAGTGTCAAGTGATCATCAAATGCCTACATACTGCAGTAACTATTCTGAGTATACTTCTGCTTGTGGCAATGGGTTCATCATGAGAACATGTTCATTAGCAGGAATCATATTCATTGTTGTACTAACTACAGCATGTAGTCTCTAGCTCTATGTTTAGTTCCAAAGCCCCAGTCTAGCATCATTACTGAAGCCAGATATGATTCTGAGTTCCATAGAGTTGTGGAGATTACCCAGGCAATAATGATTTTGTATGGCAACGTTTTGAGAACAAACTAGTTCTAATTCTGTTGTTAAACTCCAGTGTACTAAAAAATGTTAGTTTATGTGAAATTTGATTTCACAGGAAGTTGAACAGCGTGGCTTTAGTTCAAAAAAATAATCATTGGCTTACTATAGATAACACTATGATTGTCAATAGTTTCTGCTTAAAATTATGTGCTTCAAGTTATTTGCTGAATCAGTGGTAAATGTGCTAAGTGTCTTGCACAGCTGAGCTCCTTGCTGGGTAGCCAATGTGTCAAGCACTCAAGAATGTGGCTGATGGCAAGGCTGTTAAGCTTCTGCAAATCCAGAGTAATGTGGGATGCATCTGTACATTATAACTGTGATCTTTGGGTCTGGGCTGACCAAGGCTGGGCTATCTACGCAGCTTAGAACTGTAAAGATTCAAACAAAATAATATGGAATTGTATCCACGTTAATAAAGCCCGTCCCTGAAAAGGATTGGTTAGTTAGATTGGTTGTCACTTTAGTGCATTGATAGTGCTTCTTAATCAGCAGTTCTTAACCATCATCACTGATAATGGTGAAAACAATTTGTCTGTGTACAAAGAACTTGATTTTTCCAAGACTTGTGCATGCATTTCATACACTTGAACAGCTCTGATGGCTGCTCATTTGAATGAGTGTAACCTGTTTAATTTAATCTTTGCAGAATTGGGACCCAAGTGAGTCTTTAAAATAACAAAAACCACTGGTCTACTTAAAAGTTTCAGTCCCATTTTTAATCAGTACTCTGGAATTTCAGGTAGCAGAGGCAAAGCAGACACAATATGCCTTGAAAAGTGTTGCTTTTGGTGCTGTAGAATATTAATTTTCTTCTTTGTTAAAGGGACTTCCCCCACCTTGACATCTCCTTGCAAAAATTTTGCATCCTACATATAGACTTAGAATGATGAGAGAGGATTATATCATGTTCCAACATGCCCAACTTTTCAAATACTTAAAAATAAATCAAAAAATGTGTAAGTGGGTTTAGGCTGCCAATGGGCAGCCTGAACTTGTATTGTACTCGTTTCTGCAAGTTTTATAAGCCTGTTCACTGAAATATTTAATGCAAACTGAATGCTTGTTATAGCAACCATTGATTTACTCGCTAAAGGTCTTATGCACAGATAATGTAAACGTTTTGAGGCCCAGTCTTTGTGAGGTGCCCGGCGCTTCCCAAGACTAAGCTGTTTACTGAGCTTATATGCAGAGCTGTGTGCGACCCATCCAAATGGGGAGAAATCACAATTAAGTGTAGGTGGCAATGTATCTTTGTGGGTTGCAAATTGGCATTTTCAAGAGTGGGCATTCTTGGAACTCTTAGTGCACTTCTTGAACTCATATATCACTATAAAAAATAAATAAATAATAATAATAATAAAACGATTAAATTAGTCTATTCCTGCGTGTTCTCCGTAGAAATACAAGAACATTTGCTTGTTCGGGTAATAACGTGATCAGGGCTCATTTCTGTGAGGGGAGTTAAGGCTTGCGAAGCGCCAACGGTGCCAGGCGTTAGCACCGCTGTGACGGGCCGTGAGGGGCTCCGGGCCGGCGGGGCAGCACCGCCCGGCCGTGGGGACCCCGGGAGCCCCCCTCGAGCACACTTCCCCCCTCACCCTTGCAGCGCGACGAAATCGCTTCGGCGCTGCGGGGAGCGGAGGGCCGGCAGGGCCGCGGAGGGCGGAGGCAGCGGCGGGGCCGTGACGGCGCCGTCCCCGCCCCGCGCCCAATGGCGGCGCGGCCCCGCCTCAGCCGGCCCGGCCCGGCCCGGCCCCGCCGTGTGCGCCGCGCTGCCGCCATGGGGTTACTGCTGGGCTGGGGGCCGGCCGGGAGCCACCGCCTCCTCCTCCTCGCCGCCGCCTCCCGCGCACCGCGGGCCGGGCAGTAGCGGCCTCGGCGAGGGCTGCCCTCCCGCGCCGCCCATGGCGTAGCCGCGCTGCTGCGCGCCTGCCCCCGCAGGACGCGGCGCGGACAGAGCCGCTGCCAGGTACTTACGGCCGCTGCTACCCCGGGCCGGGCGGGGCTGCCGCCGAGGGGAACCCCGGTGCCTGTCACCCCTCGGGGCCGGCGCGGCGGGGGGCGAGGGCTGACAGCGCCCGTCGCGCCCCGGAGTCGGCGGGCAGGCCTGTGGGAGGCACGCCGGAGCTCTGGAGCAGGCAAGCTGCAGGTGTCCCGGGGTGGCCGGGGCGTCAGCGTGTGCTGGGCGGGGGGCCGCGGCGGTGACAGACGGGTGTCAAGCGCAGCGCTCCGCAGGTGTCGGTGCCGCGGTGCGGTTTGGGGTCACCGTACCCGCTGCGAGGCCAGCCGGTGAGATTATTAACGTGGGAGCGTTGTGTGAAGTTGGTGCTTGAGGAGGTAACGCAGGCCGGTACCGTGCTGCTTCTCTACAACTTCACAGGGCAGCGGCTTCTCAGCGGGATTTTCGCCGCGTGCTTCGCAGTGGATGCGCTGGAGTCGGTTGACTACGGCCTTTTGAGCACGCCTCCCCTAGCAGCCCTGCGGCGTTCAAGTCAGGGGGACATCAAGTAACTTCTTGAACTTTCCTCGGTTTCAGCCGTGCTTGTAAGTCCAAAGTTACTGCCACTGAAGGCAGGCAGTGTTGAAGATGATGTGTATGGTCCTTGTACAACTCCAGGTGTGGTGTATGGTTATGCCTTTTCCATGTGCTGGCGATGTAACCAGGTGCAAATGTACTTACTTCAGTTCTGTGAAGCTGTAGCTGCTATAGTTTGGCTGCTGTCACTTAGTATTTTCTTCTCAAATGCATTATCATCATCACAGTTCAGTTTTAATAGCAGCCTCTTAACTGGGTTTGTAAAACTTTGCATTGAGTTTAGAGGAGAAAGACTTGGACGATTAAGTGCCATGATTTTGTTCTGAGACAGAAAGAGACTCGACCAGGAAAATTTCTATACCAAACTAGGTATTTTGGATGATGCCCACTAGGCTGATACCAGCCCCCTGCTCGGGATGGATCCTGCAGTAGATGGGGGAGCCTCCCGCTCTTGGACAGGACTTGTGGTACCATCTGGGTTCTGCTCACAGGGACCTGCAGCCTCGGACAGGGAAGACCTTAAGACTCTGTGTGCTAATACAACTAATTCTAAAGACATGTATCTGTCTGTTTACTGCTTTTTGCTGGGAATACTTTGTTTCCTTGCAGTCCACACAGTTTTTCCATGAACCCCAGAGACAACATAAGTTGGTAGCTGGATTTTAATTAGCACTGCACAGGTGTCCTGCCAAAGCATTTCCGAGAGCATTAGCAAAACCTTCTTGGCAGATGAATATTCCTTGAAGAGCTCCAGCTTAACTCAAGGAAGCTCACAGGGTTGGAATCCCAGCCGAGCAGGAACATGGCTGCCCAGGACACAGACCTGAGCCCATGCCGGGTGCTGCAGCTGTGCTTGGGTTCCCTGCCTGGCTGGGGGAGGAAGGGAGGGCCATGTCAGAGGGGGCAGGCTGTTGGCTTCCTTCAGTGAAGAGTCCTTTATTCTGCGACTTGCTTCCCCCAATTGTTTGTTGTACTCCAACCTTGTTAAGCTTAAAGTGACACTTCAAATTTTTTCCTCTTCTGCCCTGCTTTCTCTCTCTCTCTGGGGAGGTCTTGTTTGATTCTGACGCGTGTTTCAACTTTGGGTGTGTGTCCAGAGCCTCATCTAGTCACAGTGTGTAATGATGTGATTCCAGTGGATGTGATTCCTTTTAAAAAGTAAGTTCAAATTCTTATTTCTCTAGTATGCAAAACATCTCTTAGTACCATAGCATCTTGATGCCTACGTCCAGGAACAGTGTTTTGAAGTTAATTGCTAACCAGCAGGGGGAACACAAAACATTGTCTCTGAAGTCTCTCTTCATACCACAGCTGCAGTTTGTTAAAACTTTGGGCCTGTACTTTTGATAGTATTTGTTTTAAATTGATACTCATCTTTTATTGGAAAAAAAAAGCATTAGAATAAATGCATTATTTTTGTACACATGCTTATTAGTTTGCTCTAATAGGCATGTTTACCATTCAGAAGAATGGAATTTTGCCATATTAGCCAGAACAGAACTTGATAAAATTAGACATTTATTTAAGTTAAATTTCTCTTTGAAAACATTTATTTTGGAAAATTATATTTTGAGTAATTCTGTAGAGCTGTAGACAATGCTAGAATATTTTGAAAGTAGAACTAAAGTTGAGTGTCAAAAAAGTTGTATTCTCACAAGAAACTATTTCCAGTATTTAGGGTTTCCATAAGAGAGAATGCTTTTAGTTATTCTCTTAGGTTTTAAGAAGTCACGACCAGCTTATTTTTGTAAAAGTCAATTGACACTCCTAGCGTGGATCAGTAATGATTTTTCCTTTTGTTTTATATTGGCATAACAATTGATTACTTCTTTTGTTCTCAAAATCAAGGTTGATAATCAAAGATTATCTTCATGACTCACATTGATCTGTATTGCTTTTCAATCTCTGAAGCCTGATGTACCCAAGTGACAAATACTTAACGTATGGATGTACAAACAGATTGCTGAATGCTAAGTGGAGATGGGAATTACCGGGAAAGAGCTGACATGCTGCTAAGAGTCAAAGGCTCTTACCCTGCAGTAAATGTGAGATACCTTGCTGCTCGTACTTTGAGGGTAAGCAGTCTTTCACTGATGACAGGATAAAAACATACCTGGAGGCATTTGCCATGGAGCAGGAGGTTTGTCCCAAGACCACTAGTGACTGATAACAATTGTGTATTCTCATAGCCCTAGGTCTTAGAGCAAGTGAAGACAGTATATAATTTCACTGAAATGAACAGTCCCAGATCACATTTACAGGAAGGGGTAAGCTTCTGTGGTTGTATACTCATTGAATGGCTATGAGTATAAATGTTTTCCTTCCTGTAGTTTCAGCAACCTGGTATATGCATGTTCCAATGGCTGCATATTCTTCTCTAGGAGCATTATCTGATGTTGCCAGACATTGATGGTACTAAAAGGTCCATGTTAATTTCCCTTTGCAGTCTCCCTCTTCTATCGTTTTTATTCTGATTATATCCATAGGGAATCACAAAGCTTTTATCCTCCGTACGTTTTTCTGAGATGTCGAAGTACCTAGTTCGTAAAGTCAATGTGAGACTTCTGCTTTAATTTTATTTGGAAATAGTGCTAAAGCTTTTCCAAATCTGTATTACAATTCTTTTGTCTGATACCTACAATAACATTCTGTTGACATTTAAGACATAAATTATGAAGTCATAGGCAGTTTATTATTAGAAAATGCTCTGTAGGATATAGCTTGCAAATATCTTTGGAATCACAGAACTTTTGATCTAATTCCACAAAATATTTGTGTATTATAAATAGACATTAATTTCAGAGTAGTAATATTTGTGGGGATGAACAGTGGTATGCTAGTTTCTAGCCACTTCATGAGTAGAAACATGTTTTGCCATAAAAACGTACTAGCAAAGAAGCAGTGCAACTGCTTAGTTCGTAACTGTGGATTCTCATTTCCATGTGCTGGCAGTAATCCAGTTGAGCAGCATTTCTTGCACTATGACAGCGATGATTAACTCTCCAATAACCAAAATGAAACAACTTGAGATATTATTGAAGGAGGGACTTTAAAACTGCTACTTTGTCAGTATACATCCCCTATCTTTTCATTTCCTCTCTGCCAAAGTACATTTTTGAAAGAAAAACATCGTTTATGACCCTAAGTATCCAAATGGTCAAATTAGTCAACTTCAGCAGAGAACACTTTGTATTTTACATTGTGTATGCTATATTGATGAATTGTTTGGCTTACAAATAATTGTTTGGCAAAATATGATATTTATGATGTATAAGTTTATGATGTATTTATGGTGAAATAATGAATTTATTGCGGAAAACATGAAAGCCATTAGTCCATATCCATTCTACGAATAGTACTCTAAATTTAGCTGTAGCTGCTTATTGCTAACAAATTGAAATGCATTATATTTAATAATTCTTTTAAATGTTTTTTCTAACTTTAACAGATTAGTTGGCCAACTTCAGAATTTTATTTTGCTGTTGCAGCATGTTGTAAAATTCTGGGAGTCAGCTGGAAAGGGCGTCTGTTTCAAATAAGCTTAGTTCTGACCTTGCAAGAGACCTGTTTAGATTCTGGTAGAACAGCTTATCTGTAGGTCATGGGTCTGAAACAGGTTAATTATAGAGCTCACATATAGACCGTTGTTCTACACTGAAGGCAGTAGGAATTGTGAGACATAACGTTAATGATTTTGAAAAATAATGGAAATTCAATTACATTCTGATTTGATTTGTAAGCGTAGGCATTTCTGTTGGAAATCTTAAGTTCATTGTATGACAGGGACAGTTAAGAATAAATAAAAAAAATCTCAATGTATCAAGGGAGCTTACTGTGTAGTATAGATCTGCTGGATACATGTGTTTCCTTGCCAAGAAGCTGGAGGTGGATTGTAGAACTACATATCCTCTTTTGTCTTAGATTTATAGAAGTAATTCATTATGGTGTATTTGTTTTGGTTTTGGCAATGACTTGAGTGAAGCAAAATTGTGTTCTGATTTACAGTACAGCTGTTGCAGCATTTGGAAAGATAGGCTTTTTCTCCTATGAAGATTATTACATTAGTGGACCAAGTCTGTCCTCTGGTCTATGCAGCTTGTGTTATGCGATGGATGAGTTCCCCCTTTCTGGTATTTGAAATGACTGACATTCCTGAATTCTTGTTGATCAGTGATTTGGCTCACTCTCAGATAAGGTGCAGTGATTTTCTTTGTGCATACAAGATGCACAAATTATTTATATGAACTTAGGAATTCGTTGTGGCCTTCTATTTCCCTAACTTTGTGTTCAAAGCTTTTTGCAGTCTTTATGTATAGTTGTAATAAATGATGAGAGGCAGGAAATTCTGTACAATAAAAATTATATGGGAGTATATGTGCTTTCTGAGCAGAGTATGTCAGTGATACGTATCCTCATTGAAACAAATCCTCCTAACAGTGCTAATAAATGATAATTTTTATGAAATTAGTTTTGTCTCAACCTGAATGTTTCTCTGCCAAACAAATTAAATTACACTGGTTATTTGGCAGATGGTGAGGGGTTACTCCTACATAAAGGGAAGCCCCTTTTGACTCATTCTTTTAACTGTATGGCAGTTTGAGGTCTTCCCTATTTGTGTGGGAGAAGTTTCCTATCTTACAGATGTACATCTGCAAATTAAGTGGCTGACAGCTAGCTTTTGATAAATGTGTTTAACTTTTGTTCTTGTTTAGCAACCTGAATAAATAATCTTTTAACCTACCTGCTTTCTAAATTGTCTTATTCTAGTGAGCAAACTTCAAAATATGCGTCTCTTGATTTATTTTCCTCCAAAATGTGGTTTTGATGATGAATGTGGTTAGTTTCAAGTACCTAGTAGTTAATATTTTAAGCTGTTCATTTACATCTTGTAGCATCTTAGAACCGATGGTAGTGGGGAAGGCTGATTTGTAACACTCAATCCAATTTCTCTGATCTGGGAAATGCTGGTTTTCAGTCGTCTTCAGTTTGACCACCATTCTTTTTCCTCAAGAGGCCTGCATACTTTTATAGCAAATGTATACTTAATGCCATAGTGTTGTTGTTGTTATAACCCCTTGCAGGCTCTCCACAATTAATTCAGACAATGACATATATCAATGTAGTTAATATAATTTAACGTAGGCCATGGTTTCAAAACCACTTTTCTAAGTGTTGAGAGATGATTTCAAGATTTGAGATCTAATGAAGATTGATTTAGCATTTTAGCTGGTAGGGAGGTTCTACCAACAACGAGTTCTAGATAAAGTTCTAAGGTTTTGCAGTTTGGTCTTGAAAAAATAACTGCATCAGGCACTCCTTGAGAGAAGAATTTGCTGAAATCTCTCACCCTGTGTGGAAGAAGCCTTGCTGAGTTGGTTACTTTCCATCCTGCTGTGGCTCCTTTCCTGTGCATAGCCAAAAGGAGATGGTTCCCTAGGGTTCTATTGCTTTGGATAGGTGCATTAGAGCTGTTATCTATTTAGTTTAGGTGTACAATTAGAAACCGAGCCAAAAAAAAATTAGGATAATGAAATTTGTGTGAGGATGTTGGCTGCTACAGTGTTTGTGAAGAGTAAGATAGTCCGGTGCCAGGAAACCTATTCTGTTTCCAATTAGAAACCATTAAAAAATGTAATTAGGCCAAACAAATTTAACTATGAGAAGAGAAAGTTGTAGAGATCTGTTTAATGTGGTTTATGATCTTCTTGTCCATTCAGAAGATTCCAGTACAGGTGTGATGTTTTCGTTTCAGGGTAAAAGCAGCAAACCTAGTTTAAAAAAAATGAGCCTGGTTCCTGTTAGTTGTGGTGAGATTACTTGCTGAGTTCCTCAGGAACTTGAGTTTTATTTAGGTATATATTTTGGACTTGGATTTCTTGTGCTGCAATGAAAACTTTAATCCCATCTTTATGTACATACAGACTCTGGATTTCACTGCTTTTTTTGCTGCTTCTGCTACCCGAAAAGAACAGAACATCAGGAAAACAGTATATAATATTGTCACCAGTTTTCCCTGATGAGAGCAGTGAGATTTCTGTCAGAACTGCCTGAAATGCAATTATCTTTCTATCTTTCTAGGTAGATCACGGGGGGGGAGGCTGTGGCCATATACAGGTCCTGTTATGACTCACTTGCGTGTGGGACACTAGACTAACCGTGAGTTGCATAGAAAATATGTGACTGAAGCTGGTATGAGATTCCAGGATGCTTGAGCCACTATAGCTCAAGCTGTATAGCATCCCAATGTTTTATTTTCTCTAATCCCTGTAGGGATGCTCTGTTGTAAGATGTCCCTGAAGGCCCTGTGTAAAAATAGAAGAGCTCTGATTCCATGCTCGAGTTACACATAAGATGTTTGCCTTTTTGTTAAGCTCTGTCTCATATGCCACGTTCATTCCCTTCTGTAGTTTCAGTAATCTCTAGGAATTTCTGCTTTTGTCAAAAGGGAATCTGTGCTGCATGTCTCCTTCTTCATCTTGTGTACTCCTTCTACTAAAAGACTCCTGAATGCATTTCCTTCCCTTCCACCTATTGAGACCCTCCTACATCCTGATCCTGTAAGAGGCTATTCTCTTGTTTACACATTAAGTGAAACCTTGCCCCTGAGCCTGTAAAGATTCAGCAGCGTACCTCTCTGTGTTTGGGGGAAGGGTAGTCCTGGGAACATACAGAAGAATGATTTTTATCCTGTTTCTGTAAATTGTCTTTCACTTTTGTGCTATATTGTGCAGTGATTATTCAGCTAAAACTTCCATGGTGTCTGGTTTCATGAATTTACTTTTCTGGTCTAAACTCACAGCAATTCAGGTCAGCTGATTAAAAAAGCGTTGGGAAGCTGAAGGGAAAACTGGTCATGAAATGATACTGAGAATAGACACCACCATCCAAACTGGATGTTCATGCCAGCAGTGGGCAAAATATGTACCAGGTACAAAACCAAGTTCAATAACATGTTGCTAAAAAGGTGAAATAGTTTTGCATATTTTGTGGACTAATGTGTATGTATTTTGTGGCTTCCTGTCATTTGTCAAGCTACATTGTAATTCATTAATATGAAAATAAATAAACAAAATGTTACAAGAGTTGCATGGAATAGAGGGGCACAATTGCTAAATGGCATAAAATATCTTCCCTTGGCACTTGTCCAGTTCCCATAGCCTTTAACTGTGACTTGTTGAAATGTCCCATTACAAGCACAGCAGCATGTGAACTGCAGGATACTAGAATTACTTTTTCCCTGGGCTTCTGATATGTCAGGATATTTTGTTTTATTACTATTCATGTATTCTCTGAAAATGAAACTACTTTGTTTCTAAAACAGAATCTATCCCCTTAATAGTTTATGAATAAGTTACTGTTTTGAGTTCTGAATGGCGGAACTTCATGTATGTGCCTTGGACACAGGCATTAAAAATGCACACACATTTTCAGTCCCACATTAATATTTGCTAACCTTATTAGTCAGCTTCCGACTTGCGCGTGTGTAAATCACGCAGAATCAAGAGAGGATAAATGTCATCCTAATAAAAAGGAAATCTACTGAAATGCAGATTTAATGAGTGAAGTTATATATAAACTCTTCCAAAACTGTTTTAAGTTTATAGAACTGCTTGTGCAGTTAACCGTCTGTGAGATTTTTGTTGAGCATGGGTGCGCTTCATTACAAATGACTGGTCTTTTATTACTGATGCAAGCAATGTATGTATTTACTGCATTCACATGGGGAGCCAATGTAGACAAGTGGGAGGAAAAAACTGGTTAAATAAGCTAAATGGTTGCCATGCATAAAACAAACAAACAAAAAGTGAAAAAGCTTTGGCTGTGAAGGCCTTCTTGGATAGCCTAAAAACTTGGGTTCACGTTGCTATGGCAAAACAACACAAAGGGACAGATCGTGCTGGCTTCACTCGAGTATCCCCATTCACTTTGGTGGGACTTCTGACGTGGTTTAGTGAAGGAAGATTTCTTAGCTCGCTTTGGCACAGAAGTGTTTGTTAGCAGTGTTATAGAGAGCTCTGTAACCTCTGGCATCGTGCATGGAAAGAAGAGAGAATTACCAGAGTCCACGTTGATAAGGAGGAGAGGAAATGGAAGTTATTCTTCAGGCAGTAAAGGAAAAGGTTGGACAAGGAGTGTGCTAGAGTTAAGGCAAGGGAAGAACTTGTATGGGAAAGGTAGGTGGTGATTAGAGAAACAGATGGTGACGACTGGGGAAAAGGCTTAAAGGAACAGGGGAAAAAAAGGGGAAAAACAAAGCATTGAGAACCCAATTTGGCAATGACTGTGGTGAATTTCTGCAGTATAGAAACCTATGATAGCAAACAAACATCCCTAAACCTGTGGCTGTGGTGTCCTGCAGGCATCTATATTGTCAAGTTGGACTTTACTTTCTCTCAGCTTCCTTGTAGGCAAAAATAAATTGAACAGAAGAAAAGTGTGTAAAAACTGAAGCTAAAGAGACTGCTGATCTCAAGGGGAGCCACGAGTAATAGTTATTTTGCTAGAAGTACAGGAAGAGGCTGAGTTGAAAAGTTCTCAAATGTTCTGCAGGCACTGCTTAATAATAGTGATATTGTAGGGCTTATACTTGCTCATTTTCATGTGTAGCCCTTCAAACACTTCTGAAGCTGAATCCTGTCCTGTTTTTTTGGAGAATGTTAAACAGGTGTAGGAATAGAAACAGTTCATCTAGTGGCAAAACAGCACAATGTTTTCTTAGTAACAAGCCATCCACAGAGCCTTAGATCCTGGTAGCACCTGCCATTGAGAACTGGGAAATCCTTAGTGGTGTTTTTTAGAGGATATGGCATGCTTTCAACTTTTGAATTCTTGGGTCATGTTGTAGCATTAAAGGTGACTTTCTAGTTCAAAGGGTAGTTCTTAAAAAATCCACAAAAGGCTGAGTTCTGAGGAAGACAGCAGGTTTGTACAAAGATAATATTTCAGCTAATGAAAGGTAGAGCAGTGGCAGTAGTGTAGTGAAGTGATTTGTGTTTTGTGCTTGCTGCTGCTGGCTGTAACAGTCAGATTCTTTTAAATACCACTGATGAATTAAGGAGCATTTGTTATCATCTAGTATAAAAAAAGCTATGAGATCTGTCCTTTTGTAGTTAGTCAAGCTCACAGGCCAGTCAGCATGTCCCAGTGTCCTGCAAAAGCATATTATTTTTCCTTGGTTTCTAGCAAGGCTTTAATGCATCAAAATTCTGATGGACATAACGTTAAACCTAATTAAAACCTATGCTCATGCATCCTCCTCTTCCTGTCCTTTCTGCTATGTGCTTCATCATATGTTTTCCCCTCTATATTCTCCCAAGTCTTCCGCCCCTAAGAAAATCTCCAATTAAGGCTTTTCCTAATTTTCTCAGTTGCATTTATTCCTGTTTGCAAAGATAATTCACAGTGAAGCAGTCTCTTTTGTGGTGTTTAGGCCCCTTGTTTTCATCAGGATGAGTGGCTTCTTCAATGGCAAACTTAATTAAAAAACAATCCCACCAGGCTATGCCTCTTGGACTATGATTCTTCAGTGACTCCAGATACCCTTTTTTATCCCTTTTTCTTACAGCCTGCAGTAATGTAAAACATTGGGATTAAAACAGTGTATTAGTAATCCTGAAGCTCTCATGACATCTCTTCCTCTTCCTTGTCAAGGTTTTTTGGTTATACTTTTAATCTGCCCTTTCATGACCTCAGCTGCAAAAATAGCTACCCAGATATACCCCAAAGGAAAAGATGATTCTCTTGGAAATTTCTTTTGAATCTCAAATTGACTAACAGTTATGTTTATTTCTTGGATAAATAGTTTAGGTTCCCAATGCTTTTGCACAGCTTTTTTTCTCTTATTTCGAAGGAAACATCCCCCTGTTCTGTGGACTGCTTCAACTTTTCTTAATCTGCAGGTTTCACATATTCTTCTGGTTACAACAGGTTTCACACTGAAGCAAAATATGGCATGTTTTGCACCAGAAATGTTTTTTTATCACTCATTTCTTTTTTGTTTATCTTTAGTACTGTCAGATAATAGCAGCTTCATAGGTGACTGAAGGACTGACGCTGGATGAAACACCTGCATTCTGTGGATTGCAGATGGCCAAATAGAAAAGGACTGCTCCCGAATATCAAACGTGCAAGGCAAACTGATGCCTCCGTTTTCTTCTTTAGTGTCTTTTTGCTTTTAGATACTGTCACTGAAACTGCAGACCTCGTTGTTGAGCCCTTTCCAGTCACAGGTGAAGATGATCAGGTTTTCCAAAATCCTGCAAATTGTGCACTTTATCTTTATTCTTGAATTATCACGTTCTGTGCTTTCTGATTTAAACTGTTTTATTCAGAAATCTGTGTAGCTGGGAGTTCCTAAATTCATGAAAATTGCTGTCAGTTTGTCACCCTTTCACATGGTGTCTCAGTGTCTGACTTCCCCTTTTAAATTCTGTGAACACTTATCTTCAAGCTAGTGAGCCCTTTCTTCAGAAAGCTCTTCCTAATTTTCATTTAAGTTTTTAATATATCTTTTGTGAGCTGGCAGAATTGAAGAGAAGCCTAGGCCTTTTGGATTGTATCCTTCAGCTCTAGGTTAAACCTTGAAAATGGTTTGGTCAGTGGGTTGCGGTCGGGATAAAAATGACTCTTTTGGTTTTGCTTGGGGATGGAAATGTGTATGCATTCTCTCCCCCTTTTAAATCATTCTTCCAAAATCAAAGCTGAATTTAAACTTGGCATTTTAACAGTGCTTGGGTAGGTGGCCGATACAGCATGGGATGCTGAACTGTTCTTAGTAACGTACCTTTATCTACAGTTCTTTCCCTGTGCTTCCCATTTCTGCACAAGCTGTGTGCCTTACAAAAATGTCACTGAAGAAAGAGGTTTATGCTCATGGCAGTGTAATCTAAGTAACATCTTGCATTTTCCTGTTTAGTATATTACTGAGTATATGTGCTCCATTTGCTCTTTTTTCTAGTTTCTCTTTTGTTAATTATTATTGAGCTGCTGATGTATAACCATTTCATCAAATTTCAGAATGCTTATTCATTGCCTGTTTGCACTTATGACACCTTACAGCATGTTATAATGATCTTTTATAGCTAATGTTAGGTAGAAACCTTATGATTTGCTGTATTTATCATTCTGTCTTTATGGCATCATTAAAAGTTGAGTTAGCAACCAAATACTCTCACTGAGTAGATTTAGGTTTCTATTCATCTAGAGTAGCAACAAATGATTCCAGCTCACATTTGACTTCCCAAATGATGTTCAGTATCTGCCATAAGTTCCTTATAGTTTGCCATTTTGGCATTAAATCTGTTTGATTTGGATCTTCATCTTCAAAACTTTTGTATTAAAGGATTGTCCAACACTCTTGTCAACAATTTATTATTTCCACTTAATAAAGGTTGGCCTTAATTTACCACAAAATTCAGGGTCCCTCGTGGATCACTATGTAACCTTACATTCCTGGGGGGTGTGTGTGTAATGAGAGGTAGCTGGGAACTCACAGAATGCTTCCAGTAGGTTCAGGATGAATAATTTTTACAATCCCTGTAAATTGTCCAAGGAAGCCATCATTTTCTGAGGCTTTTCTGTTTTGGACTGTCTTCAGTCACGCAAGCATTGAGTGTGTGTCTGTGTGTGTGCATTCATCCTTCTGCGGGTTTTTTTCTTAAGAGTACTGGATCTTGTTTTTGTTATGCAAAGTAATAAATGTCTCTCTTCACCCTCATCAGTAAAACTGTTCTTCTCGGAATGAGCTCTGATTGGTAGAAATAAAGACTGTTAGGTAGAATTGCAGGTGTTATCATTTGTCTAAGGACTTCCTTCCTCCACTGCTGCTATCTAGACAGTGTTGCTAAGCTGCTGGAAGATACGTGGTGAGGAGGAGTGAGCATCACTTCTGAAATTTCAACCTAAAATACTGTGTGCTAAAATCTGGTAGAAAGCAAGTGAATCCTAGGGGACACAGAGCTTGGAAGTGGACTGCGTGAAACCCACGTTGTGATAGATGCTCAGCTTCTTCTTTGCCACCGTGTTTCCATCCCATGAAGTGTGGTGCCCAGCTGTGCAGAGCCACTCCTGAGACAGGCTGGGTGTGCCAGGAGCTGCGTGCTGAGCTAAAGATCTGCCTGCGGCCTTGCTCCTGGCTGTGGGTGCTGACGGTTTGTTCTTTCTTGGTGGGTAGCTGCAGCTCCCTCTGCACAGGACAGGGCTGTCCCTGCAGGGTAACCCCTGGAGAAAATCTGCAGAGTGGTTTCTGGTGTTTTCCTCGTAGCTGTAGGAGTGCTGCCAGCAGGTATCTTCAAGTGCTGATGTAGGCACACATTTGCCTTGTGTGGACTTCTGGTCATCCACGGCATGGAACACTAATCCTGGTTTGGTCTGACTGTGTATTTCATTCCATTTAACGTCAGCAAGAACCTTTTAAATGGTGTTCATGTTGTCACAGTTTTAGGACGTGGTCCTGTCTTGATGTTTTTCTGTCAAGTGGCTCCTGATGGTTGTTTGCAATGTTAGTGCTTGCTGAGGCACCATCTGGCATCTGCTGCCGCTGGTAAGGGAGTGAAATAGATGAGATCTTTATTTGATTGAATGTGTATCAACATTCCAGTTCCTTACCTACACGGCCCATGATTTCATTCTGGACACCTAAATAGCTGACAATAGATTTAAAAAATAAAGAAAGAAGTGGAATAGGATATTGGGCGTATTATGCATTTCCCCTTAAAAATCTGTGGCATGCATTGTGGATTCAGGATTTTACACTATTTTCAAATTCTGGCAGGTATCTCTTGTATTGTCATTTGTTTGTACAGCACATTTAAGGTGTTTTTGTTTGTTTGTTTTATTGACCTGGAATATGAAGTCTTGAAATCTCTTAAAATATCTGAACAGCTTTATATTTAGTGTCAAGTGATCTTGAAAAGATTTCTCAAATTGTTATACTGAGGAATGAGTTTGATTTACCTTGTTACCTGTAAACCGGCTAGGGCACACACGAAACATCTCTTTGTGGTATAATAAAGGTGGCAGCAGATAAATAAATAAATGAATGTTGAAGTGTCCCAGGGAGAGTTTGCAAAGTTAAAATAAACATTTCTGAGGCTGAATACCATTTCCATTTCCAGGCTTCAGCAGGACTTCAGTATTAGTTAACAGAAAGGACTCTGGGTTTTCACTTTCAAGAAGATCACAACTTGCACAATGGATGATATGAAAGAGCAAGGGACACAAAGAAGTGCTGAAGTACAGAAGAGGAAAAAGTAGTAGGCCATCACTACCTGGCCAGTCTGGCAATATAAAGTGCACTCCTGTAATAGCCTTTTAAGAAAGGGAATTCTATTTCTCTTTTTATGAAAGAGATAATTGTAAATAGCTAGTAACATTTCTGTAAGTTATATTTATATTAAAATTTATTTTTATATCTTTCTGTAGGCAATTTGAAGTCTAGAAGATTTGATTTCAAAGCACACCACATTTTTCAAAGCAAGTAAATCTACATGAAGAGCTACAAAGGGAGCTGATTTGAGAAGATAGTGTTTGCAAAAATGTCTTCAACTTGTGTGACTCCAGTGTTTGCTTTGATTTTGTGTTTTGCAGCTGCAGGTAGGTGGCATTATGTAAATCATGCATTCAGTCTAACTTACTGTATGTATTCAGAATTACTGATCAAACATAGTTTTTCACGTTGGTAAAATGTAGGCTGCCTGAAGTTTGTATAAAACCTAGATGTAAATATAAAACTATTGTGATCATGACCAGTAGTATGGCGATGTGATAAATGATGCTGTTTTCTATAAGTTTTTTTTTTCAGCTGTGTTCCCTCTTAAAATCATTAAAGAACTTCAGTAGTAATGTAAATTACTTTGTTAATTTATAAAATTGAATTGCATGGTGCCTGTATGTTCTTAAGGTAGGTTGCCAAGAAAGCCTTTGGGAATGGAAGCAGGGTGGCTCTGCTAATGTGATACCAAGGCTGAACAGCTCACCATTTTGAGAGGCTACGTTTATTACTCTGGGTGCAGGGTTGTGCTGGTGAAGCTGTGTCTCTTCAGAACCTGAGCTAGGGTCTCTGTAGTACTGAACATATGTACCAGCTCAGTGCTTCCTTCAAGGTCTCTAATCTGTAATTAAATTACAGTTACTTAGTTTATAAAATTGATAACAACAATTCCAGAAAAATAAGTATGAAGAGTATTGTAATAGGGCACTGAGTACATCCTTCATCTTCTGCTGGGACAAGCTTTACCTATGTCATTCCTGACAGCTATCAAATCTGTTTCAAAGTTAACTGTCAGTGGTGGTGATGAAGGCGTTTTCTTGAACGTTGACAGTGTTACTGGAGGTCTCATGATAGGAAAATACATTTCCTTTTATGGGGATTGAACCTGCCTCACATCTTGTCTACAACAGGAATTTTTTAAAAGAGTGTTTTGCAATAACTTGTGACAGAGAAATGAAAAAGATCTGTAGACTTCAAGCACCAAGCTTATATTCAAGGTTCTTCAAGTGTTGGAAGTGATTCTTCTGAGTATGTTTGTTTGTCAGAGTTCTTCCTGTGGTTACAAGGGGAAGCCTCTTATGTGTCCAGTTTGCATACAAGCATGGGTCATTGGAGAAGAGGCCAAGTGGATATATAGTCAGTCAAAATGAGGTAGTGGGAAAAGTGGACAGATGGCTTGCTTAAATCTGAGATGTCCTCATTGTGGAAAAGATGACCAGCTTTGGAGGAGATGTGGCTGAGCAATTAAATATGTTACAATTTGGCTTCCTTTCACCATCAGCATGGAAAATTATGTTGTTTCAAGCCCTCAGACCTTGTGGGACTTTCTCTGGGGCTGACCTCCTGAAGGCATTCATCCAACATTAGTAACTTTGATTATTTAATAGTACATGATGTTAACATTTTGCAATAGCTTCACTGCAGATGAACTTTTAGCAATGCAGGGTGTGTCTGAGTGTGTCTGTGGCTTGAGCTGAGGATTTGAATGCTGGTCTTGGCTGAGAAGAAGGATTACTTAGAGTGATTCTGAATCATTGTAAATTCACACACAAAAAAAACTACTTTAAAAAGAAGTACCAGTGTAGAAAATAAAAACTGTGTTCTAGTTGATTGCAACCACAGTTCCTTTTTGTTGTTGCTTACATAAGGAAGTTTGCTTACTTCTTAATGCCATCTTTAAGTAAAAACACTACTTCAAATACAGTACTGTTACAGTTATTCGGTGTTCAGAAACCCTAGCATTTTTCTTTGGAAATGTTATGTTTCTTTTTGGTTTTACTTCCTAGCTCTGTGTATTCCTCTCTTGACGGATATCCTTGATGCAAACCCTTTAAAATCACTATAGCTGTGGATTTGATTAGATGCTTTTTCAAAAATAGTCACAGAATGACCTTGATTGGAAGGGACCTCTGGAACTCAGTCCAGCCTCCAGCCCAGAGACAGGCTAGCTTCAAATTTACTTCTCTCTTGGAGACTGATCCTTGTCTGCATGCGAAGAAATGGAGTAGTAGTGAGCAAAAGGGAGTAGTAGTGAGGTTTGCAGTCAGTTAGGGCAAGGATGGGGAATACGACTGTTGTGGTTTCTGGATGTGCCTGCCTGGTGGGTTTTGGTTTTGTTCAGTGCTTTTTATTTTTGTAATGAATTCCTAATGAGAATGCTTCGTGCCATGTACAGTATGTCATGATTACAGTAAGATACAGGCAATAAGGAACTAAGGACTGTGCTGAGGAAGGGGGAGAGATCAAGATCAAATACATAATTACAACTGAGGATGGACAGCTCTTCGAAGGTTATTTAAAGAGTTTTTGCAACACTTTTGTGTTAGTAGTCACCAAGTCCTGTTAACATAAACAACCATGCTTTACAATCTCAGAAGTAAATGTGGGAGTTTGTGTCTTGGTGAAATACAGATGGGAGCAAACGATGTGTTCCAGTCCTAAGTGTGGAAAAAGCAGTGGTGGGTGACTGAGCTGTTGTCAGCCTTATGGCCAGGGTTCCGCAGGCTCTTCATCACTGGAGCAAAGAACTCTCATTTCTTCAGGCTTGTACATTTAACGAAATAGTACTTCCATAGTATAAAGAAAACTAAGAAATATAAATAAAACTAAGAAGTATGAATAAAATCCCTGTGTGCCTGTGGTGAAGCCTGGGGGAGGCAGGGGGCAGCATGCCACCTCCCTGGGGTGCTGATTTTTATATGGTGAGCCTTATTCCAGCCTATTCTTTGTTTCTGAAATAGCGAGGCTGATGAAGAAGAGCAGACCTTTCTTTTGTTAATCAGTTGTGCACTGACATTGCTATTGTAGGTGTAGATTTTGTTGCTGACTTTCTGGTATTTTCAGCATTGTTACCTCTTCAAATACAAGTGATCTTCTAGAGAGAATCTCAACTTTTTTTTTCAACGTTTTAAAAGTATTAATGTGTTAAATATCTCTCCAAAAAATCCAGTTAGATGTCACGATGCACAGAGATGCAGTCATGTGGCTCAGTTTTGAATATGCATGTTTTTCATGGTGGTAGTAAGGCATACTCTTCACTGATTTTATGTTGAAAGTGGGCTATATAGATAAGTGAAGAATATTTCTTTCTCTACCACTTATCACTGCTGGTATGTATATGTCTAAATTCTCATCTGAATCTGTTTTACGTCTGCACACAAATTTCTTGTAGGCTCATATTTTTGCTGCTTTGATTATACAGAAAAAAAAATGCAAGGAAAGCCTGGACTGCTATGAGATTTTTTCTTCCCTATGGAAAGTGTAAAGGACGATGGTGAGAAGAATTGCTGGCAAACTACTTGCCTGTCTGAAGGAAATAGGGTTTTGAAGTAGGCTTAAACTAAGATGAGGCAACCTGCAGTAGGAACTTCACCTAAGCTATTAGCACTGTGGATAACCTCAAAAGCAAGTCTGGCTTTGCAGTCTTGGGAGCAAAAACATTCTGTCTTAATGTAGCTTAAATCAAAGGCCATAACATTTGTTTTCCTTGCTTGCAAATCCGTGCCATTGGGTGCATGACAGATGTCGTGATAAAATGTCTTGGAGGACAGCTGAAGTGCGTACCTGTCCTAGACCCTGGGGGCCAGACTTTAACAAGATAGGTTCTCCTCTGAAGGAGTGGGAAACATGTAGTTAACTTGGACTTTTCTTGTTTTTCTTGTCCTTGGTGGATCTTCGGGTAGCATAAATTGTCCCTGCTGTGGACAAAGCATTGCAGCCATGGCATCTGTAGCTGACCAAAATCTGCACATGCAGCTATGTTCTCTCCTTCAGTCCCTGTGATATTTGGTGCTGCCTATGCTTACCCTGTAGATATGTCTCTCCTTGTGACAGAGATTTCCAGTTGTGGTCAGGCTGCTGGAGAGACTGTAAGAATTGCATTATAAGTGGATATGTTGAAGAACGTACCCAGTTTCTATTATACTGCCTTTTCTACTCACTTTAGATCTGCCTTTATGGTTTTCTTTCAACATCTCTATTCCCTGTTTCTCTGCTGTACTGTTACCCTGGCATTTTTTTTCTTTCTGCATACTTGTTCTTATGAATAATCTTGTGGTGCTCAGAGCATGTGCGCTTCATTTTCAATAAGCCTATTTGCTTGTACACTAATATATCTTTTGGATTTGTGCCCCTAGACACAGTGGTGATGGTGCCATATTAATAAGCGTAACAATAGGAAAAAGAGGCGTTGTCATGACGTCTGTTTTTTTCAGGAGGAATTTTCCTCAACCTTGAACACTGTTTCCAAAAGCAATATAGGATTCTACAAAGTATAATAGAAAGTTCTTCCGCTGTCACGTGGAGGATGTGATTGAAAGAAAAAAAATTATATGTTGGGAGTCACTCGCGCAAATTTCCTTCCCTTTTAGACTTTAGACATTTTTGCTGTTTGTTTCCCAAATGTAGTTGAAGTGCTAGTCTTATTTTTCCTCAAAATATTTGTTGCCAGAGGTGTGTGTGGGGGTTATTTGTTTAAATTGTGGTTAGAGGATGAGAACCAAGGGACAGAGGTTGGCTCTTGAATTATTGTAACTGAAATAAAGCACAGACTGGTTTTAACTTTCAAATCCATAAAGAGCTTACTCTCCACTTCCCTCTTCTTTCACTTCATTATCGCAACCAACCAACCTCTACCTTCCTTGAAAAACCACCCAGTTCCTTCTGTCCCTCAACTGTCTGGACAAGTGAGTCTTTTAGGGAAGATTGACTCAGCATTTATGGGCTTGCAAACTCAGAGTTGAGGGAGCAGCAGGCTGGTTGTGTGCTGTGCCTGGCTCATGTTGTACCTGTGCCACTGCCACATTGAATCTGAGAGGCTGGAAGCGCTGGGATCCCTTGAGTCCAGGCCGTAAAGGGAGTGGCTGTACACTTTTAATGAGAGGCCATTACTCACTCATCCTGAGAAATTCTAATTAGGTGGCTCTGACTAGCTTTTAAGGGTGGAAATTGTTTTGATTTTTTTAAAATCTTTCCAGTATCAGGATGGTGATTTCTAAGTATCTTGGTCATCTAATTAAGTATCTATGGTCATCTAATAGGGAAGCATATGATGAGTTTGTGTTAATGAGCTTGGTAAGAAAACTTTGGAAAGTCAAAAGATCCA